GGTGGGGGGGGGTTCAGAAGGTGAGGTGCTGTTTAATTAAAAAGAACAGTGACATAGCACTGGTAAGAATTTATGGTGTTGACGTGCTGTGCAGTGAAACTTTTTGAAAGTCGTGAGGAGGACAGCCAGTTTGACAGGAACATCCCTGTTGCAGGAACGCTCCGAGTACAGTCTGTTGTGAAACTGGCACGACTGACTCTGTTGGCACAAAGTAATGATGAAGAAGGCAGGGATGTGCAGAGAGATCACATACTATAATATGACAGAAGGCTCCCTATGCACATGTCTCCTTTATTATTTGGATTAATCTATTTTCATGGTCAGGGATTGATTTTTGGCTGCACCAGGCAACATGTGCATCCCTGAGGTGTGACACCTCACTTGGAGAGGCTCATGGCAGCTGGGCCAGCAGCTTGTGGTTGGGGTTTAAAGATGTTTTTGCAGTGTGTGCTGTAGGTTCTTCACATATATCTGTCCACTACACAGAACAGTCCTGGTGAATTTTGAAAATAAAATAACATTTGTGGTGGCGGTGCCAATCAGCTCAACAGTGATGGTAATAAACTCCTTTTCAGCATCAGCGATCCGGACCAGTGACTGGCCCGACTTGTTGGTTCTGCAGCACGTGTTGTATCAGAAAACAGCCGAACCAAAAAGGCTCCAAGTCATTTGTCCGCTGTTTTAGGATAGCTCAGGGGGGACAACAAACTTGAGCTGGTGCTTTGTTTATTCTAGTTATCTGTTCTGTTTTCTTTTCTTTCTTTTTATCCAGATGTAGCATTATTAGAGCTCTCTCAACTTGTCTGATCGTTCATTTAGTTCAACTAGTTAAAAAAAAAAACCTCAAGAAATAGCCCATAGTCTCTGCGTATTTCAGCAGTTAAAAGCCCTTCTTTGTTACCGCTTGTTAACCTGCACTTGAAAAGGATGACGTTTTCACTCAAACTTAATTAATTTTGTAATTACTGGATGTTTTACTTCAAGACAAGGACATGAAAACGGGGAATAAGATGAAAGGAATGACTAAAAAAAAATAATTGTGTGAGAGAAAAGTAATTTTCTTACAGATATTTTTTCATGGAATGGTTCAAAATGAAGGAATATCTGGTAAATAACCCCAGATTCAAGGAAATTACACAAATAAAGAGAAATAAAGAAAAAAAGATTCACACGGCATTACCCAGCAGCAGGGGAGCTGCCAGGAATTCTGGGATATCCCAATGGGTATACAATGAAATACACTCAAGAACATGAATATATTCCTAAATGCACTGCAGAATCCTCTATTATTATTAATAATAATAATATGTTGATTATAATATTCTAATATTTTTTACTAACCCCTGATTGTCGCTAGCTGGCAGCCATGTTGTTTGTATTGTGATAGATTTCTTCTACAGCCTGAACATGTGCAGTTGTTTTGAACCCTAATGGCTGTATTCCTATTCGTTTGTGAATAAGACATGATGCAGCCCTGTTAGATATTTCATTACAAATCAATAAACGACAGGCTTAGTAAACAAATACACCGACGGAAATGAAATTCTGCCACAACCTCTGGCTATCTGTGAAGCTCAGCTGAGCTTGAATTTATTATTCGAGACGGAGTCATTGTCTCAAATGACTCATTAAAAGGCACTATGACTACTTTACAGACAAAAGTGGAAAATAACAAAGACATCTAAAAGAAAAAATAAATAAATGGTGGTTTTTTGGCCGTGTGCAGCAGAATAGGACAGTGACGATGCAGAACAGAAGTTGAAAGTTTCATCATCCACTTTCGATTAACGAGGACAAAAGGATTATATGAAGCCGAGCTGTCCTCGGGAAAGGTTGTTGAAAAAGCAGGTGTGCAAGTGCAGACACCGCAGACACAAGTGTTACTGATGATCAGCAGGTGAGTCTCTGCTTCACTGTATAAAACACCAAAGACACTGGAGGGTGAAACACGTATCAGCTTTCTCACTAAACACAGGGAGTGGTACCAGCTCTGCTGCCAAACCTCCACTCAGGGTGCTTATAACATTTAAGCTTTAAGGTGGAAATATAGTAATGATGGCAGCCGTTGAGAAGCAGTTGAGAAACTGACCAGCTGTTTTAGATACACGTAAAACTGTTGTGAGAGAATCTCAGAATTCAAATACTGATAAATAACAGACAGATGGATGGACAGACCCGTAGTCTTTTAATTGAGTTTTTCATTATCAGCACACCCACTTTCCTGTATGTATACCCTCCCCTAATACCCGGACAGCTAATGTCTATGCGCTGTTTATTCATTAGTGGTTTGACATTTCCCTTAATTTATTCAACAGGACCAGGATTTGCAAAATGTGAAAGCATTTAGTCCGGTTCCCTTAAATGAGGCACAGAGCATATAATTGGCTAAAGGTCAGGGAGTGTTGAACACTGTGGAGGGATAACGCATGACTACAGCCAGCAGTTTTTAAATCTAAACACCTTATTCACAATGTTAGAAAAAGAAGAAGATAAGAAGAAGAAGAAGAGCAGAGTCCATGCTGACCAAATTTAGAGCAAAGGTTTCTAAAGATCAACCAAAAAAAAAAAAGTCAGAAAGTCAACAGCCACAGAGTTGGAGAAATGGGCTGATACACATCGAAATGCAATATTGTTTTGTTTTTGTTTTTTATCTGGAGTACTTGAAATGTGATAGATTCACACAACAGTGACAAATATTTTTGGAGTATCAGAATTTCTTTAATCCATTTCTGGATATTGTTAAAGTCCCAGAGTCTCAACTGCCAATCATGGATCCTCAAAGTAAATATTAGGCCTGACAGTAGTATAACCAGTTCTACTCTTGGGCAAAAGAGGATTTTGAATGTTGATGCTGTCAAACATACCAACATGAATGTGGGTTTTTCTTCATTTCTGCTGGAATTGCAGCTCAGGGGCATCAGTCTGTCTGTGTCTGTGTCCACTCTGAGGCATTAATTACAACATGCTGCTGCAGAAATCCAGGTTCACTGGAGATGAAATGCTTAGACTGACGATCAGAACACTGCTGGTGATGTCCTGCATTACACTGATATTTACTCCCACAAGGTATCAATAATAACTAATAACCAAAAATAGCGCATGAGTCACTTCCACATCTACTACACACAGGCGTTTGTGCTGCAAACCCCTAAATACGTTGTGAAAAAACACTTATTCAAGTTGTTAAATAACACAAAGTATTGGTACTGAAAAAAAAAGGCAAAAATGTAATCAGTATTGCACCAAATTAGAAATTGTCTATTCCTGTCGCTCATCACTATTGAAGACTGATAAATGTGAGACATCCATTAGTGTTGGAAATGCAGTTTAATAAGGAGCTCGCACATGGTTCCAGTGCTGGACTCTCTTCACTACAGCAGTTGTCGGATTTTCCCAGCACAACCAGGATTTAGTGTGGCCTGTCAAGGCTGAAGAAGGTGAATTATGGCTCAGTGTTCCTCGACAGTGCTGAGTCCGTGGCTTCATCTCTTCTGACAGGCTCTTGACTGTGTGTGATGATGAGAGACAGCTCGGTTTGGCACTCAGTGCCGGCTCTTCTGACGACAATGTGAATTATGTAGACCTGTAGGAGCAGGTGCATGTATCAGCGCATCCCTGCTCCTATTAATCCTCCCTACAAAGGTTCACTGCAAAGACCCCAGACATACATCACCACAGCAGGTCCTCACTTCAAACACTGGATGAGACATGATGAAGGCTAGGAACTGTGTGCTTCAGTGACACGCGCTCCTGCGTTAAGAATTTCTCTGAATAAATTAAAATTTGATTTTACAATAGATTATTTAAGGCAGGGAAAGGTGAGTTCAATACAATACAGTTTCAAGATGCTGATTTGTTAACTGGGACCACAAAATATAGTTTGGCAGATAGACAAATAGATGGCTATTTATTGAGTTCCTGAATAAATGCAGTAGCTCATTAAATTCCTTTAGGTAAATGTTTGTTTTTCTAAACTGTATATATTTATTTATTGCTTGTGGCTACTCAGAAATGATAATTGATTCTTCTTTCTTTTGTTGGAAAAATTCCAACTAAATTTCTGCCTAATTGAAAATATTTTACACCTTTTTCTCAGTTTTGCTGAATGGAATTTAGCCTTTCCTGCTGGCAGGGCAAATATTTAGCAATTTGTGAGCTAAGTGTTAATGGGTTTTTTTCATACTATTAATGCATTAGAACTGTTTTGACAAAGTCTTTCCAACACATTTTCATCACTAATTAAATTTCAGGTCTGCACGCTCCTACCTTTATGTGTCAGATTAATGATGCTACAGCTTTCAGGAGAACGTTTGGCTTCTTCCTACTGTTAAACCGGTTCAGGCAGCATTTTGGAGACACAGTTAAGGACCGTCTTTGAGTGACAAAGACTTTGATAAGTACTCCTTAGCCCATGTGACAATGTACATCA